GTGTGCGCAACGTGATGGTTGAAGGGAACCGTGTCGAGATGTCGTTCGGCGGAGAATGGGAGGAACTTCTGAGGACGGCGACCGAGCGCTACGGAGTCGCTGACATCAAGACTAGCGAGGCTGATCTGGAAGAGATATTTTCTGACAGGTACTATCAAATCATACTATCACGGCGGCGAGGAGGACTAGGAGGTCGGATGACGCTGTCCGCACGTATTTTTCAAGACGACGCGCGGATCGCTGGTTGGGGTGGGCGATCGCAGGCGGTCACGTTGTCGCTGTTTCGCTCTCGGGATTGTCGTTTACCGTTAGATCGATCTACGTGTACACTCGTTGTCCGAGCGTTCCGATCGCTAGTCGCATCGTGGGATGACTGATTGTGGGCGGTTTTTGGCGGTAACGTGGTTTGTTCGGACTTGTGTCGTGCTTGTTTGTGGCGGCCATCGCGCTGGTCATGGTGAGCCTCTTCAATCGCTGGCGAGAGCGGACGGGACGATGGATATATTGTTGTCGAATCCGAAGAGTCGCACTTTCGTGTTGCTGTCGAAGACGGGTGCGCTGGTGATGGCTAGCGACTCCTCTTCGCCACGGTGGCTGTGTGGATACCGTCACCCGATTGCTGCTTTTCTAGGGGTCGATATCGGCCGGCTTGGATGTCGAGGCGCTGACGCTGCACTTTTTTGTGAGCGCTGGTTTTTTAACGGTTTTCTTGCTGCCGAACACCCCGGCGATAGGGTGCGATAAAGCGGGCAATCGAGGGACGTCTCCGGGTGGTGGCGACGGGCGATCATGGTGGTGTCTTCTCAGCGGTTTGGCGGGGGGGGGGGTGGGGGGGGAGTGGGGTTGTGGGGGGGGGGGGGGGTGGGGGTTGGGGGGTTGGGGGGGTGGGGGGTGGGGGGGGTGTTTGTTTGTGGGGGGGGGTGGGGTGGGGGGGGTTTGGGGGGGGTGGTGGTGGGTTGTGGGGGGGGGGGGGGTGGGTGTGGCTTTTGCCGTTGTCGAAGGAGGTGAGGTGTTCCAATGTTATGCGTGGTACTACTTCGACGGTAGTGACCCGGTCACTAACGGTGTGGCTTGGGGGCATATTGCGTTGTTGGTTTCGGCTTCGGCGGTCTTGTTGGCGGTGTCGGTCATCGGTTTCAATCGACGCGATTTGAAGGGGCAATCGGTAGGGACGACGATGTTGGATCGGGTGCGAGGCAATCCCCTGCTCAACAGGTTGATCGGTCGGCTCGCGGGATCGGCGAGGGTGTCGTCGATTTGGGTGAAGACGATCACGGACTACCAGACGCTGCTGTTGATCACGTGTGGTGTGGCGTTCTTGATGATGGGCGTGATGATGGGTCCGATGTACGCGTCGATCCCGGCGGAGACATTGACTACGTTCGAGCAGTTGCCGGAGCAGTTGATCGCGCTGTTCGGCGGTGAGGTGATTTGAGCACGCCTGAAGGGTTGGTACACGCTCGAAACGTTTGGCTTGATGGCGCCGGTGGGTGTGATCCTCGTTACGCGATCATGGGTGCCGGGGCGTTTGCAGGAGAGGAATCTCGGCGACGATGGGGATGCTGCTCGCCAATCCGATAAGCCGGTCGAGGATCGTGTTTGAGAAAGCGATCCCGATGGTGCTTTTCGCGGTCGCGGTCGGTTTCGCGACGTTTGCGGGCGTCGCTCTTGGGTCGTTGATCGCGGACCTTGGGATGTCGGTCGGGAATATTGCGGCGACGGCGACGTTGCAGGCTCTCGTGGGCTTGGTTTTTGGATCTCTGGCGTTGGCGCTGAGCGCAGGGACGGGGCGCACGTCGATCGCAATCTATGGCGCGGCGGGTGCGGCAGTCGTCTTCCACTTGGTCAACTCTTTGGGAGCGCTCAACGATGCCATCGCTGATTTGGCGTGGTTGACGCCGTTCCACTACTACCTCGGAAACGATCCACTCAACAACGGATTGGACTGGGGTGACGCGGTGGTGTTAGCGCTGTTGTCGTCGGTTCTGATCGGCTTGTCGTTCGTGCTGTTTGAGCGCCGGGATATCAGGCAACACGCATAGCGGTCAGGTGATGGCCTTCACGGTTATTTCCGACGATTCCCTTGTCGAGATGCCTCGTAGACCTTGATGAACTCGTCGACGGGAGTTAAGGCGATGGCTTCGCCGACTAGTTCAAGCGGCAGGTCGTCAAGTTTGCGGAAGCGGACGCAAGACTTGCCCATGTCGAGTCGTTTGCCGGTGGCTAGGTAACGCTCTCGGAACCAACTTTCAACGGATCCGTCGCCATAGACGTTCGTCAGGTAGACGGCCATGTGGCGTTTCTGAGATGCCAGGGCGGCGTACATGAGGGGTTGCTTGTTGTAGCTGTTGGGGTAGGTGGCGAGCGGGACGGCGTAGGTGATCATGCCGAAGAGCATCATCTCCTCGTAGCCCTCGGGGAGGTTTTCAAGAACGACGTTGCGGACGGTGGAGAGTTGCTCGCGCCGGTCGTCGTCAAGCTCGGCGAGGTATTCTTCTGCGGTTTTGGCTTTGCTATGCATGGGGATTCGCCTTTGTGGATGTGGATGTGGTGTGCGCTTTCTTCAACGCTGGTAGCATCACTCAGCGATGCCAATTGCCCGTCGCTTCATAGCCTGAACGAAGGCCTTGCTCACGGCTTCGATGTCTTGACCGAAATCTCGACCGTTCGCGGTCGGCGCTGCAACGCAACGATGCGCGCAAATTCTATTGCTTGTCGCGTTCGTCAAGTTCGTCAGCCAAAGAGATCCTCGTCGGGCCAGAGGTGACCGCGTACTCGCAGCATCACGTGTTTGGAAGACTTCTCGTGCAGATTGGGCGTAGGTGCCGAGGCGTGGCATCCCTGCATTCAGCAGCAGAGATGCGTACTACCAGGTGGGTTCTCGGCTTCTCGCATCCAATGTTCTCGGGCATAGTTCAGATAGAAGTGCATCTGGCCAGCATCGGCGTGGGTGAAACTACCGATCTTTAAGTCGACGATTACCAAGCTTCGCAATCGGCGGTGAAACTTTGATATGGAGCAAAGAACAGATCCACACGTCGGTACCATGGTGCCCGAATCTCGACGTTTGCTACCGATGTTGATGTGGGTTTGCTGTGTGGATGAAATGCGTGTGATGGTTGTTTTTTGGGTTGGTGTTTGTTGCGATGAAACACGAGAATTCATCGCCCAATTCCAATAGGAATGTCTCTAGGTGGCGGATGAGGGCTTCTTCAAGATCGCTCTCTGAATACTCGTCCTTGAGGTCGAGAAAGAAATTCTGAGGACGAACAGTCTTGGATCTCGTCTCTGGCTAGTACTCAGGTTACGTAACAGGTCTTCGGAACGGGGTATCCCTCCCTCTCCAAAACGGCGACCTTGTTCTTCGACAGAGCGGTGCGCTCGTAAAACTGTGAATTGATCTGGCGATCGAGTTGACGGATTGACCAGCCACCCCTGATGGCCTCGGCTTCGTAGAATTCGCGAGCTTGCGTGTTCTTGATCGACGACAGTCGAACGTAGGCGGACCACGGCAGTGTAAAGGCAGATAGAAGGTCGCAGGGACTTACGTCACCCTGACCTCACCATCATCGATTCGCCAGACGGCGTCTGGCGAATCTGCTCAGGTGGATATGAGAGGTTAGAAACAGTCGCTGTTTGGATGTTTGAAGGCGAGAAGCCAGCGTCAAACGACGGGTCAAATCAGTAGCCAGTCGTCTCGATTAAGAACCTGGGTTTGCCGTACTCTGCCCGTTCATCCCCCGATTGCTCTAACTCAACGATGCGGTGCCCAATCAACCAATACGCTGCCGTCATGGCCGCGTTAACCGATCGCGCGGCTGAGACCTAGCGCGGTCAACGATCTTCGCCAAATCGCTGACGATGGCCTGGTACTGGGCACTATGTAGGTCAACTTCGTTCATACCGACCACGAAATATTGCTCACACGATGATCAAGCAGGTGGAAATCATGATGCGTTCACCGCTTGAATGATGGCGTGGATGTAGCCGTAGCAGTAGGCGAAGCCGACTTGGTGCGCTCATCGCCGTCGATGCCGGGGACGTGATCGGGCATGAGCATGTAGGGATAGCCGACTTCTTTGTAGGTGCGGGCGGCTTTGAGCATGTCTATATCGCCTTCGTCAGGGAAGACTTCTACGAAGTCTAGCACGCCGCCTTTGATGTTGCGGAAGTGGACGTTGAAGATCTTCTTGCGGCTTCCGAAGTAGCGGATGATGTCGTAGATTTCTTCGCCGGGGTTTTCGAGCATCTCGGAGACGGTGCCTTGGCAGAAGTTGAAGCCGTGGGTACGACTGTCGTGCATCGCCTCGAACTTCTTGAGACCCTCGACGGTGCCCATGACGCGGGCTACCCGCGATATTCGTTGTGCTTGATGCCCGGGGTCCTGCGGGTGGCAGGCCATTTGGACTTTGTACTCTTCGGCTACGGGCGCGATGCGGAGGAGAAAGTAGTCGATGCGCTCCCACATGGTGTCGGCGTCCGCCGCACCGCCCTCGAACACGGGTAGAGACTGGTCGAGATCGGCGTAGTTGAATGACGAAAGGGTCGCTCCGCCGCGGCCGTATCGCGGTGCGTGCGGAGATGTCCGAGGATGGTGATGTTGTAGAGCAGTCCTCTTAGTCCAGCTTCCGATGCCATGCGGATGATCTCGCATAGGCTGTCCAACTCCCGCTCCTTCTCGTCACTGGGGCCGAGGAAGAGATAGGACATGTCGTTGGTGAAGGCGTCGCGGGAGCCGAGGGGTGAATGAATCGTCTCGACGTTGATCCCGTACTTGGCGTATTTCTCCCGGTACGACGTTAGGAGGTCGACGGTCCACTCTTTCCAATGCTCCTTGAGCGGTACGTCGACATGCTCGACGCCTAGCTGCGCCAGCTGCCGGATATCCGTTTCATGGCGCGCTCCGAATTGTGTTCCCACATACATCGCCGTTCCCCCTTTTTGTTGGCTAATCCGCGTGCGGTCTATGATATGCCGTAGCCTTCCTGTAGGAGAGAATCATGCCGCAGCATTACCTAGGAATAGATGTCGGCACCACTGCGATCAAAGCGTTGATCGTCGATGAGTCCGGATCGGTGGTCGGAGAGGCCGAAGCTCCGCAAGAGCTATCTGTCCCGCAACCCGGATGGTCGGAGCAGAATCCGACGGATTGGTGGCAAGGTACTATCGATGCGGTCCGTGCCGCTTGCGCGCAAGCCGATATCCGGGATGTGAAGGCGATCGGACTGTCGGGCCAGATGCATAGCTCGGTGTTGTTGGACGATGCGGACGAGGTGCTTAGGCCGGCTATATTGTGGAATGACGTTCGCACTACTGATCAGTGTCGTTTCATCACCGACAGAGTGGGCAAGACGGGTTTGCGCCGGTTAGTGGGTAATCCTGCTCTTGAGGGCTTTACAGCGCCGAAGCTACTGTGGGTGCGCGACGAGGAGCCTGGTTTGTTCGACAGAGTGCGAACGGTGTTGTTGCCCAAGGATTATGTGCGGCTGTTGATGACTGGAGTAAAGGCAACGGATCCTTCCGACGCTGCGGGCACATTGCTGTTCGACGTCCGACGGAACCGCTGGTCGGAAGAGATGACGGACGCGCTGGAAATTGATCCGGCGATTCTCCCGCCCGTTAGGGGTTCCGCAAGCGTAACTGGTGGACTCACCGCAGACGCGGCGGAGGCATTGGGTTTGCGGGCTGGCACGCCGGTTGTTGGCGGAGGTGCGGATAACGCCGCAGCCGCGGTCGGCTCCGGTGTTGTCGAGCAAGGCACGATGCAGACCTCCATCGGCACATCCGGCGCTGTCGTGGCACCGATCAAACGCCCACGCGTCGATCCCGGATGCGCATACATTCATTCAACCATGCCATCGAAGACACTTGGTATCTCATGGGAGTCGTCCTGTCCGCAGGAGCGGCGCTGGCATGGTTCAGTCGGATGTTGGTTGGTCCTGAAGGAAGGCCGCCCACATATGACGAGTTGATAGCCGAGGCCGAGGGTGTTGGACGGGCGCGGACGGTCTGACGTTCTTGCCGTATCTGACCGGTGAGCGCACGCCGACATGCCGACGCGAACGCACGCGGGAGGTCTTCGTCGGAATCCACGCCGGACACCAGCGCGGACATCTCGTGCGTGCGGTGATGGAGGGCGTGACGTTTGCGTTGCGGGATTCGCTTGAGTTGATGCGGCGGTTGGGAGTCAACGCTGACGCGTCGGTCGCGGTAGGGCGGTGGCGCACGTAGTCAGGTCTGGCGGCAGATGCAGGCCGATGTGCTTGGGGTTCCGGTTGTTCGGGTAGGGCCCTCTGGCGGTGCGCCGTACGGCGCGGCGATACTCGCAGCCGTCGGTGGTGGCGAGTTTGCATCTGTAGAGGAGGCGTGTCGAGCGTGGATACGACCGCTTGACCGCCTCGAGCCCAATCGTGAAACCGCCGATGCCTATGGCAAGGCGTATGAGCGTTACCGAAAGCTCTACCCTCGGTTAAAGCGTCACTTCGCGGAGCAGGCGGGGAGCACGTCATCCTGAAGGGAGGCCCCTTGGCAAAACCGTTCGGGAGGGCGGAAACGCGTTCAGATATGCCGCGAACTTCGCTTGCGCGGAAACGGCGTGCTTTGTTTTCTCTGGATTCCCGCGTGCGCGGGAATGACGTGGGGGCGATGGAATGACGATGATTGCGCGAAAGTCTTTCGTTGGCTTAGGATGGGTTCGATGGGTTTGGTGCATTCACAGAGAGAACGCGACCTCGTAGCGGACGCACTGAGTGATACACCGGAGACCGCCATTCCGGCCCACCTCTTGAGGCGTGGTCTCGCGACAGCGTACGTGGATGGTCCTGTATCGCGGTTCGACGGCGTAATCGTCCAGTCACAGTCTTTGCCGCGGGAGCCGTGGTGCTTCGGACGCAACTCAGACGCCGTATGGGGTTTGCTGCGCGAGCTCGATGAGTGGGGTCGGCAACCTGTCTCTCCGAACGTATCTGCCGACCTCGCTGTTCCGCTCACGGTTCTCATTGAGCAGGATACGAACCTCCGGGTCAGACACTACGGCGACGTCTACCACACGTTGCCCGGGCGAATAAACCGGTTCACGACTCCAGTAGTTCGACCGCTTGACCTAGAGGATTCTGGCCTCCTCGCTGAGCATGAGAGCAACCCACATCGAATGGGGTTCGTTACTTTCGAGGATCTGTTCACTAAGGGGCGGCCGCCGGCGCCGTGGTGGATAACAGGTTGGTGGCACTCGCCCACACGAACGCCATGACCGCACCGGTACGGCGATCATCGGAGTGTTCAACCGACGAAGCATGGCGTGGAAGGGGATTCGCCACATCCGCGGCGAGCATCGTGGCGCACTGCATTCGAGAACGGGGGCGGGTTCCCGTTTGGAGCGCTGGGGAGGACAACGCGGCATCCCTGCGCGTGGCCGCCAAACTCGGCTTCGTCGAAGCATCGCGACGCGTCTACCTCAACATCGTAGTTCCTGCAGCATGACGGGCCAGGCATCGTCCGCGTAGAACCGGTGGCCGCCCTGCCCCACTACTAGATGACAACGATCGGCGGCGCCTGCTGCTCGGTAGATCTTTTGCAGGTCCGAAAACGCCCGTCTCGTCGCATCAACCGGGAATATCGGATCCTCCGCGCCACAGACCAGAACGACCGGACGAGGCGCGAACAACCCCATCACATCGGCCATCTCGGCGACTCGTAGTAAACCCGGGACGTAGTTGTCGGCACAGTGATAGATCGACATGATGGAATCGCGGAATGTGTTGAAGTAGCAGGAAGGCATGGCGTGAGTGATGCGCGGCAAGAGCGCCGCCGAGAAGAGGCTGATCGTGCCCCCGCCGGAGTTGCCCATGATCCCGATGCGCGACCAGTCGACATCGTCTCGCGTGTCCAGATAGTCGAGTCCGCGATCAACATCGAACACGCGCTCGCCGATGAGCGTTCGTCCCAGCATCAAAGCATGCATCGCCGCGTCGTGACATCCGTGCGTTGAGACCTGCTCTTGGGCCTGTTCCCGGCGTTCGCCGAATGAGCGTAGTTCGATGCAGAGCGCGCCGATCCCTCGTTCCATGCACTGCAACCCGAAGTCGCGATCACCGGCAACTTCCATGGGGACACCGTTGTCGTCGCGCTCGACTGCTATCGAGTGGTGCATCCCCGTGGTGTGGCCCTGAACACAAATGAAGAACGGATACTGCGGACTTGCATCCTCAGGCAGGCAAAGAAACGCGACGACATCCGAACCGGGTTCGCTCGAGAATACGATCTTCTCGATTGTGCCGTGAGGGTGGTCTCGTTTCCAAATAGAGATCGGGTTGAGTGGGATGCGATCGCCGTCAGGGAGTCCAACGAGTTCACGGACTTTGGGGCGCAGACGATCCTGCCATTCTCCGACATTGCCGCCATCAAAGGACATCGAGGGCTGCGTATCATCCATGAGTTGGCGATGGAACAGCGAAGGCGAGAGGGCGGGTTCGGTATTGGACACTGGCATGTTGACAGGTTCTCCTCCAAGGTGCGTTCCCGAATTATGCCATTCGAATCGCTGATTAATGCATACTCCAAAAACGGAGGAATACATTGGTAAACCCACACACGGCGTACTTTTCGACCTAGACAACACCCTGATCGACCGGGAAGGGGCATTCGTCCGATTCGCTTCCTGTTTCTACGAGGAACGTCTTCGGGACGCAACAACGATGTCGCGTGAGGAAGCGGTGATGAGGATGGTGCATTGGGACCAAGACGGTTTTATCGCCCGCGACGAGATGTTCGCAAGGTGGGTTGACGAGTGGCCTGAAGCGGGACTCGAACTGGTTTCGTTGCTGCCCTACTATCGATCGGAGATGCAGCGGCATGTGCAACCGGACTCGGATAATAACGGGCTTCTCGCGGACCTCAGTCGGCGAGGCGTGCCGTGGGGCATTGTCACCAACGGGAATTCCACCACGCAACACATGACGTGCCGGGGAGCGGGTCTCGATCAGCTCGCTCCGTTCATCATCGTGTCGGAAGAGGCTGGCTACAGGAAACCCGACCCGAGGATCTTCCGCGACGCATTCGACCTAACAGGTCTCACGTCTCCCGACCAAGTCCTATTCGTCGGTGACAACCCACAAGCCGACATCGAAGGAGCCAAACGGTTCGGCATGCAAACTGCGTGGGTAAGGCGCGGCCGCCAATTCCCGAACGATCTCCAACCCCCAGATCACGTCATCGATCACGTCTCCGAACTGACCAACATCCCGTCATTCCCGCGTAAAGGTTCTTTGCACAACCTCACAGATGACGGATTCACGGCCTGATAATGTGCGCTTCCCCGTTGCACCGCCCCTCTGGATTCCGGCATTCGCCGGAATGACGGTGGTTATGCACAGCACCCGTAGGCGGGAAGCCAGAGGGGCGTGAGGTCGGGGATGCCTAAACAGGTCGGAATTAACCCGGACGCGGTTGAAATCCGGTTGCGACGGATCGTGACTTGGAATCATTGGCCGATGCGCATGACCCTGGGATTAGTGCCGCACAAATCGAAAGGTGGTTGGAGGAAAGCAGAATGGGATTCCGCACGCTGCTCGTAGCCGTCAAAGAAGGCCGGGCAGTCGGTTCCGTCAGCATTGGAGGAGGCCGTCATCAGAGGAAGGATCATTGCGCCTCTTCGCGCTCGATGTTGGCCCGGCATTCCGGCGCAACGGCGTGGGCACCGCTTGGTAAAAGCAGTCGAAGCCATCGCCGCCGCAGAGACCTGGACGAAGTCAACCTAGAGGTAACGACGACAATAAAGACGCGATTCGGTTGTACCGCAGGCTGGGATACCGGAAATGCGGAGACCCAGTAATGGACCGTTGGAATCGGATGCACGACGACGGATCCAGCGAGATGATCGAGGTGCCAGTGTTCGTGATGGTGAAGAGGCTAGTTTAGGAGCATTGTTTGCGCGGGCACGTCGCGGTCGCCGACCGCGAATGTGCCATCCAATGCGCCAACACGGAACCCGAGTTTCTCGAAATTCGCCCGTTTCTCTTCATCTTCAACCGAAAGCCTCGTGGCGAACCGAACTGAATTTCGCTTCTCACCCCACGTGATCGCAGCGCCAATAAGTGCGTCGTATGAATCGTTGAACCGTTTTTGGATGAATCCATCGACGCTGCAAATGTTCTCCCCGTCGATAAACGCCGTAGCGATACCGACAAGCCGCCCATCGTTAGTCTTCGCCGCGAACCAGTGGGCGTCCGATCTGGATCCCCGCGTCCGCGGGGATGACGTGCGCGGCGGGGATGACGGGGATTTGACAAGGTAGTAGTACTTCCGACACAAACCCATACACGAATCCTGTCTTGCGTAACGGGTTGAAATCATCGGCTCGGGTAGATTGCCGTCGAGAACCTGCCAGTCGTGCGGCGTCAACAGGAGGGGAATCATCGGGACCCTGAGCGAGGCATCCCCAGTGACGATGCTCACTTCGGACGGCGTGCGGAAGTAGTCGGCAAAATATTCCTCTGGGGAATCGCCAGTAGTCACGTTGGCGTATACGGTGGTGCCAGCGATCCGCCGCCAACCCAAACGGTGGTAGACACGCGCTGCGCCAGGATTCGTGGTTCCGAGAAAAACCACTTCGCCACCATGTTCGGCAAACTCGTCGAGCGCTTGTTGGCAGAGACGGTTTGCGATGCCGCGTCCTCGATACTCCGGTCGTGTGGCGACTTCGCCGATTCCAGCAAACTGAGGAGTGGCACGCGGCGTCATAATCCCGCACGTCCCAGTCAGCACATCGCCATCTCGCTCGAGGAGAACGACGTGACGATTGTGATCGGCTTCTTCGCCGAGGAAGACCCCGATGGGTATGTCAGGGTCTTCAGTCCCGAATATATATTGCCAGAAGTCGAAGAGCTCGCCGACTAGCTCCTTATCGATAGGAGTTTCGTATCGGTACGATCCCCATTCACGACACCATCGGTCGGAGATGCGCCCACGGTCGCGCTTTTTCGAACGCCGCAGACGCCGCCAGCACCGTCTCCTCATCACCGGGTTTGCCGACGATGTGGAGCCCGATCGGCATCCCGTCGGAATCGAAGCCGCATGGGACGCTAGCCGCCGTGAATCCGATGGTGTTGATCGGGTGCGTATGCGGCAAGTAGCCCCACCACGGGACAGCTGTAGGCGGTTCGCCCCCGATCTCTTCCGGATACTGCTCATTCACAAACGCCGTACAAGCCATTGTCGGCGAAAGCAGCAGATCGAACTTCTCGAACTGGTCCCAGAACTGCTGGATCATGCGATCGCGTTCGCCGATTGCACGCCCGTAGTCCACGACGCTCAACTTGCTCCCGTAATCCAAGCCGTACCGGACGTAAAACGTCAAATCATCCGCGTGATCTTTGAGCAAGTGCCCATTCGCTGCGATAGCACTAGCCGTCGACAACACATACCAAGTATCGAACGGTGCATCCAAGACGATATCGCACTCATCAACAGTGCATCCCAGCTCTTCAAAAACCTTCGCTCCCGCCTCGGCGCCTACGGCGACCTCAGGATCGACAGCGGCAAACCCCCAACCGAGGCTCCATCCAAGTTTCAGCCCCTCAATGTCGCGTCCAACGGCCGCACTGAAATCCGGGTACAGGCGCACGCATCGAACTAGGATCTCGAGCATCGTAACCAGCCATAACCTCGAGGAGCAGAGCAGAATCCGCAACCGTCCGCGACATCGGGCCCTGTTGACTAAAGAAGTTCGCCGCTGGCGCACCATCGACTCCCGCGTAACTGGACACGCGCCCTTGCGTTGGCTTGATCCCGTAGATTCCGTTGAAGCTGGCGGGAATACGGATGGATCCGCCCCCGTCTCCGCCGGTAGCAAGCGCCGAGAGTCCGGCGGCTATACCGGCTCCCGCACCTCCGCTAGATCCTCCAGAAGTTCGTTCAGGGTTCCACGGATTGGAGCACGACGGCCCGAGCCGGTTGTCGGAGGCGCCGAGATGTCCAAACTCAGGTGTGTTCGTCTTTCCGAGCATCACCGCACCCGCATCGAAAATGCTATCGATGTACGCGGCGTTGGCGTCGGGCACCCGGTCCTTGTAAGCCAACGAACCTCCCGTCGTTCGAACCCCCTTCGTCATCTGAAGATCCTTGATCGATATCGGCAGACCGTGCAGCGGACCAAGGCTCTCGCCCCTCGCGGTCGCGGCATCGGCCTTCGCTGCCTGTTCAAGCGCAATCTCCGGTCGTCACCGTCAAGAACGCATGGAGCTGGTCGTCCAGCCGTTCGATGCGAGAGAGATACAGCTCGGTGAGTTCAGTGGAAGTTATCTCCCCATCGGCGATCAGCGCTCGAAGCTCAGTCGCGGAAGCGAAGGCGAGGTTTTCATCTAGATTTGGCATGTTCGGCTCCAAGTGGTCGTCTGGATGAGACGTACGGTTTTGACTAGTGTGAATCTACACCTATCTTCAGATGCGAGTTTGCGAAACTTCCAACTTTTCCGAGCTCGTGATACGCCGCGCCCAAAGATGCATAAACCTCGCCCTAGCACGATGCACGAGCTCGGCAGTGCCTATCCTGATTCCACCGGCAACTCTTCCTGGCTAGCCCATTGGGAGTATGACCCGGCATAAGTCCGCGCGTTTTCATAGCCAAGAATCTTGAGTACGATAGTCGCGAGCGACGCCCGCGCACCTCCGCCTCAATATGTATTGATTTCACTCTCCGGAGTGATGCCACGCGACACCAGAAGAGCACTCAACTCGTCTGCTGGCATCAACGTCTTCGTATCCGGATCGATCATGTCCTCCCAAGGGAGGTGGACAGCGCCTGGGATCCTACCTAGCCGCGGTGGTGCGCCCCACGACTGAGCAGTCCCTTCGTATTCTTCCAAGGTGCGCGTGTCCCAAAACACCGCATTCGACTGGTTCGCCGCTGTCTTCGCGTGTTCGAGGGAGCAGTAAATCGGCTCCTGTGGATTTGCAACGTATTGGGCGCTTGGGTAGTCCGGGACCTCGGTCGAGATCTGCCTATCTTCACCGGACCACTTCTCGAAACCGCCATCCAGGATACGCACGTCCGAGTGCCCGTAGTAAAGGAATGCCCACGCAACCATTCCCGCCATTTGACTGGGTGCGTCGTACACCACCACAGTCATGTCGTCGCTGATACCCAACCTACCTGCCACAGTAGCGAACTCATCAGGTTCGGACATATCCCCGTTGGCAGCCCTCGGAATCTCACCAAAACCATTCAAGTTGACCGCTCCCGTTATGTGGCCGGCAGCATATTCTTGCGGAAATCTCGCGTCAACCACTCGCAGTTTCGGATCAGAGATATGGTCAGCTAGCCAATCTGTCTCCGCGAGGAGCTCGGGATTTGCGTATCCACGATCTCGTATCGGTAACGGTTGCATTGTGCCACTCCGGTCGGCTGATCAATATTGAAACTGCTACGAATTGTAGTTTCGCTTTTTCCCTGCCAATGCAAAAGGAACTGGAACGCCGTTACCTCCCTATGGCGTAGCTGTCCCGGCGCGGGTCTGCACCGCCCGACAACACGCCCGTTTCCTGATCGACGACGATCGCGGTCATCGCTCCACCAGTCGGCGTCCAGTCGGCCAGCACGTGAACATCGTGACCCATGCCGACCAGCTCCGCAGCAGTCGCAGCGTCGATCCGTCCCTCAAGATCCAACCGACCCGGAAATAGGTGTGAGGCCAGAATGAGTTTGGGAAGTTCCATGTTGCGAAACGCGGCTCTTCGATAGCCTGCTGTGGGTCCATGCCGTGAACCGCGACATTGAGGAATAGCTGGACCATCGACGTGCATTGCGTGTCGCCACCCGGCGTACCGAATGGCATGAACAACTTGCCGTCCTTGAATGCAATCGCAGGATTGGGCGTAAGTCGCGGCCGCTTCCAAGGTTCGAGACACGATGGATGTTCAGGGTCAAGCCAAGTCTGCGAACCTCGCGACGACATCTGAATGCCTAGCCCTGGAACAATCGGACTCGGCGCGAGCGGATCACTCGGCGTCGCCGAGAAAGCGTTGCCCCATCGGTCCACCGCGCAGACGTAGCTCGTGTCCTGCATCCTTCCTCCGGAAGTCGCCGCCATCGCCACAGGAGCACTACCGTTTCTAGATACGCCCTGATACGGCCACGGGTTGCCCGGCTCCGGCATCGCATGAAAAGCGTCCGTCATGTCAACATCCGCCCGCCTCGACCGCGTGTATCCCTTGGACAATAGACCTTCGATCGGCACATCAACGAGATCGGGGTCTCCGTAGTACGCGTGACGATCCGCGTATGCAAGGTCCAGAGCCTGCGACACCAGATGGATGTACTCGGTCGAGTTGTGCCCCATCGCGGTCAGATCGTCTTCCTCGAGCATCTGGAGCGTCTGGGCAACTACCGGACCTTGACACCAAGCATTGCATGTATACACCGTGTAATCGCGAAACCCGCCCGACACCGGAGGCTCGACCTTCACCGAGAACTCCGCCAAGTCCTCCATCGTGATCCATCCACCCTGCACTGTCCGAAAACGCAATCATCTCCTCCGCGATATCACCCAGATAGAACCGATCACGCGCGGCCCCCAACGCCGCCTCTCTGCCAAGATGCGACGCCCCCTGCTCAGCCTCAATCAACCGCCGGAACGTCCGCGCTAAATCCTTTTGCACCAAAATCTCTCCAGCACGCGGAGTCCGTCCCGTTCGGCAGATAGATTTCGCGCGTCGACGGCCACATTGCCACTCCGCCCTCGTGATCGTCCTCCGTAGTCTGCAACCCCTCACTCAAATACGCGGAAACCGCAAAACCATTCTCCGCCAGCTCCAACGCCGGAGCAACAACCTGCTCAAAAGTCATCGTCCCATACTTCTCAATCGCCGTCAGCCATGCATCCGGCGCAGCCGGCACCACCGTCCTCAACACTCCCGGAGGAATCTGACCACCGTAATGCTCGTTGAAGTGCTCGATATTCGCCGCCCGCGGCCAGCGACCAAGTCCACTGATCGTCACCACCTCATCAGACGCCGCATCATAGATCGCGATCGGCGCCACACCGCCGAAATTGGTGGCGCTCGGTAGCGTCACGTTTATGGCGATGCCGGCAGCGACCCCTGCATCAATCGCATTGCCTCCCTCCTCCAATATCCGATACCCCGCGGAAGCCGCCAAATAGTGACCCGCGGAGACCATGTGGGTAGTTCCCATGATCGGCGGTCGATATGTATTCATTGTTCCGGGCATCGCAGATTCCCCACGCGTTCAACAGTTTGCGAGACACGCGCCAGTACAGGCGGCTACGGTCATTCTACGCGGCAGATGTCGATAACCGAACGCCGCGCGCTGAAGAGTGAATAGAATCGTTAACCCATGCGAAACAAGAAACCGCAATCTGTTGTCGTTATCGGAGCCGGGGTCACCGGCCTGAGCACCGCCTTCCATCTGGCCGAAAAGGGTGTTGACCGCGTCACCGTAGTCGACAAGGGCATCGTGGGCGGCGGCTCCAGCCTTCAGTCCGGCGGCATCATCACGATGCTGATGGCCACGCCAACCGAGGTGCGCGCCCGGGCCATAAGCCTCGACATTTTCGAGCGGTTCAGCAGAATCATCGACGGCTACCACTTCCACCAAGTCGGGTGCCTGAATCTCTTCACGGAGGAGGCGTTCTCCCAAAGCGCGGCCGTGCGTGACATGTGGCGACGAAACGGAGGCCAATTCGACGTCCTCCGCGGCGCCGAGATCATCGAGCGGTTCCCCGACCTAAAAGCCAAACCCACCGATATCGGCGTGCTGGACCACAGATCAGGGTTCTCCGAACCGCACCATTACGTGGCCGCCCTCAAGGCCAAGCTGAAAGACATGGGTGTCGAAATCCGGGAGAATGAACCGGTGACTGGGTTCGAGTTGCGTGGCGACAGAGTACGCGAAGTGACAACAGTCGCCGGTATTATCCAAGCCGACGCGGTCGTCTGCGCCGTTAACGCATGGACAAACCATGTCCTTTCACTCGTCGGATTTCGCATCCCGTACAAGAACTTCGTGCACGAACGGTTCGTCACCATGCCATTTGAAGAACCGCCACGACTGCCCGCGGTCAACGATCACATCCTCAACGGCTACGTGCGACCCACCGACGATAACCGGCTTCTGGTAGGCGCTTCGATCGACGTTGCCGCGTATGAGATGCGCGGCCCTGAGTTCGACGTTGGAGAGCTAGATCCGCATCCAGACGCGCTGCCGTTCATCGAGGAGAACCTTGCGAAGCGGACTGCCCTGTTAGAAGATGCCCAATGGGACTATCACACAGTTGGACTGATCAGCTTGGCGCACGACGTCAAGCCGGTCATCGGGCAGTGCCGGGAGTGAACGGCCTCTACATCGGAGCGCATTTCCACTCCGGCGGGTTTCGCCTACAACCCCGTCTCGGGGCTGCTAATCGCTGAGCACGTCGTTGACGGAGAAACTAGCATCGACACCGAAATGTACAACCCAGCGCGGTTTGGCAGCGTCAACACGGACGCCTTTTTGTCGTCACCCATAATGCACAGCGACATGGGCGTGACACGCCATTGAGTTCAAGTTTTGTCACCGGAACTGATTGCGCCTAGATTACCTTCCCAATCCTGAAACCCACAAACACCGCCGCCAGCGCCGCCGCGTTGCTGATGAGCAAATTCGCGACAAATATCGCCCAGCTCCCACTACGGAAAAACATCGCTTCATCAAAAGCAAACGTCGAAAAAGTAGTGAACGATCCCAAGAACCCGGTCAACACCAGCAGACGCATGTTCTCAGACACCCAGTCACGGTCTTCGGCATACGCCCAGACCAAGCCGAAGAGCAGCGAACCGAGGACGTTAACCGTGAGGATCGCCAGCGGAAACGTTGTCGGCGAATATCGTTGATAGATGACGACGGTGCCGTAACGGGCCAATGCACCCGCAGCGCCACCGATTGCCACGCTGAGCAACTTTTCCATGTGCTAAACCTTATTCCATAGAATTCGGACGAACATCTCAAAATTGCGACCAATCCGCGGAGGAAAACCAATATGGCAGGTTCGATGATCAAATACCCCAGCAACGGCGGTGAAACTAAGGGTTACCTCGCATTGCCACCGTCTGGCTCGGGACCCGGTCTGCTCGTTATCCAGGAGTGGTGGGGGCTTGTCCAGCACATCAAAAATATGGCCGACGCTACGCCGCCAAAGGTTTCGTCACCCTCGCGCCAGACCTGTATCACGGCGAGGCTGCCACTGAACCCGATCATGCGATGACCCTCATGCATGAGCTCGAGATTCCACAGGCGTCAAAAGACCTCGTCGGCGCGGCGGAATATCTCCGCTCCCACGAGGCAAACTCCACCGGCAAAGTCGGATGCCTCGGATACTGCATGGGCGGCGGAATGACGCTCCTCCTCGCCTCGCTCGGCGCAATCCAAGCCGGCGCACCGTTCTATGGCGTTCTGCCGACTGGACTCCCCGATGCCGCATCGATCCAGTGTCCCATCCAAGGCCACTTCGCCGAGCACGACGACGCAACCGACGCCGTCCCCGGCCTCCGTGACGGATTGACCGCCGCCGGAGTCGAAAACGAGTTCTTCATCTACGACGGCACCCAGCACGCATTCTGCAACGACGATCGCCCCGAGGTCTACGACGAAACCGCCGCGAAAACGTCAATGGACCGAACCGTCGAGTTCATGACGCAGCACCTCTCATGAGCAACCAACCAGCAGACGCCCAAGAACAGTTCAACCGCCAAGCGGCCAACTACGCCGTCAGCGTCCCCCACGCGACGAGCGACAGCTTGGGCATCATAACGGAGTTGGCGGCCATGGGCCGGTACCAATTGGCCCTCGACATCGCAACCGGACCCGGCTTCACCGCCTTCGCCATCGCCGAGTTCTGCAACACCGTCATCGCCTCCGACTTCGCCGAAGGAATGCTCGACCAAGCCCGCAAGATCGCCGAAGACCGCAACATCCAAACATTCGCTTCGAAATCATCGAAGCCCACGACATCCCCTACCCCGACGATCCATCGACCTCGTAACCTGCCGGACCGCTGCCCATCACTTCCACGACATCCCCAAGTTCCTCGTCCGAAGTCCACCGCATCCTGAAACCCGCCGGCATCCTTCTCCTCTGCGACACCACCACCTCGGAGGATCCCGAACTCGCTCAATGGCACCAACGAGTAGAAGCCGAGCGCGACCCGTCCCACGTTGCCGCGCCCTCCCCGTCCCAATGGGCGACACTAATCACCGACGCCAAATTCAAAATAACCCACAACCAAGCAACTCAAGTCAACATGACCTTCAACCACTGGGTGAAACGCTCCGGTACCGCCCCAACAAACCTCCCAATCCCTCCGCCAAGACTTCATCACCGCGTCTGACCATACTGAAGCACGAATACGGCATCCACGAAATACCGACGACGACATCGCCTTCCACTGGCCAGTCCTAGTCTGTCGCGCCACAAAAGGCCTGAGAAACTTCGAAAGGTTGCCCGGCTCCCGCAGTATCTCCCCGGTTAATTCGTCGGGATGAATCTTCAGATTCGATCAACCAAACCCATCAATATCCACACCACCCATTCACTCCAACCGACAACCAACTGGCGGACGGGCCGTCCACCGATCCCTCGATGTGCCGCGTTTGGCTCCAGTAGTGTTGGTGTCGAGATCCCAATTCGGTTGCCTCGACGACTGCGGTCCGATCGCAATACGTGCGCAGAGCGGAGGCACGAGATCACATCCAACGACCTCGCGTCGGCGCACCCGGTTCAATCTCGCTGGCCGACCTAGATCGCGAAGCTAGTTGTCCTCGGAAATAGACGGCGAGTCTGAGCAATGCGGGCCGAGAGATCGCATTGGTCACGAGCGACAGTTCAACGGGTTGGACGCCCATCTAGAGCGAGGATCAACGGCGGTCGGCAGACCGCCAATTGATCACCTGCCCCTTCCCCTGGCGACGGGCGTTCAACCCGTTGAACTGTGTCGTTGATGGGTCGTCACCCATCCAATCGGGCGCTTAACGCATCTGAATGTTTCTGCGACGTGCGGCGCGCAGAACTCCATATCCGGAAACCATGATCGACCAATCCGAGGATCAACGCCCAGAGCGTTCCGTCGTTGGACGGCGCGGATCCGCCGGTTGCAGGGAAGACCGACGCGTCTCCCGAATCCGGAACTTCCGTCGGCAACGGCAACGGCGATCCAGCGGTGCCCGCGGCAATTGTCGCCGGGACCGAGCTGAGGTTTCCACAAACCTGGGTGCCGGCAGCAGCCGATATCCGTACTCGGCTCGACAGGACTGTCAGCGAATCATCCGAGTTGATCGCGACTATGGCCAAGTCGGAGATGTTCGAACGCAGCTGATCCGGGAGCGGAATGCACACATCGATGGCATCGCTCAATCCGTAGGACGAAACGCTGTTGTTCGACGCGTCGACCGCCGAAATCTCGTACCAGTTGCCGCCGAGGTTGTAGCGCTGGTAGGTCTTGCCCTCGTTAGAAGCCGACCCGCCTTCGGCGATCCGCAGACCGACGATCTCGCCGCTCGGCACGACGCCCGGCCTGCCCTCAGCGATGACGTGTCTCCGGTGAACGTGCCGCCGCCTTCAGGCGTGAACACCTCGTACTGGTTGCCGTCGGAGTCCGTGAGAATCGTCGGGATCGTGCCTGCCGGGTTCACCGATGCCGGCGTCGGTTCTACGGCCGCCGAGGACCTGCGGACCGTGATCTTGAACGTTGCGGAGCATTGGTCCTCGTCGCCGAAGCAGTCGGCATCGTCGACGGTGGCGGTGACGGTGTACGAGCCCGGCGCCTGCGGAGCGGAGTATACTCGACCGCGGCGCCAGATCCCGCTATCGTGCCGTTTTGGCCGTCATCCCAAGTAATGGTCCGACCGTTGGCAAGTTCGTCGTCGAGTAGATTCTGTCGCCCGTAGATGTTGACCGAGAGCTTGACTGGGTCTCCGGGGCCGAGGACGACGTTGGAAATGGCGGGTTCGATGCGCAGTATCCTCTGGAGGGCTCGAAGCCCTGGGCTGTGGCGTGCCGCGGAGCACCGAAATCCTGTACGAACGCGTCGTTTCCCCGTCCTCTGCCGTAACGTTGACGTAAATGTCGTTCCAACCGAGCCGGATATCGACTGCACCATCCGGGTACCGGACGCCGTCGAGCGAAATTTCGGTCGTCGCGTTCGGGTCGGCTGGGACCGCAATAACGGTGACCTGCGTGACGTCTGCCGGAACTTTTGCGGTGTACACCTCGTCGTCGCTATCAAATTTCGAATCCAAGGCGACGTCTTTCAAAGCGAGTTCAACCAACCGGGCTTCTTTCGCGACGGGAAATCTTCTCTGGACCCGCACCTCGTAACTTGTGGCTCTCGAACCATCTTCCGGCGTCACCTCAATCTTGAACAGGGGGCCGGGGTAGCCGTAACTAGTCTCAGTCAGACCCAATTGATGGCCAGGCGTATCATCTTCGGCGTCTTCGAATGGCGAACCGCCGTCCGTTGTTAGGGTGGAGACGGCAAGCGGATCGGACACGACGAATGTGATGGTGGCATGTTGTGCGGATGACGGGACTTCAGCGAGGTATTTTGTGATCGCTGGATCAAAACTCGGGACCAGTTCGGCGTTTTGGACGGACAACGACGTCAACGTTGCGTCGTTTGGCAACCAACATCCGGTGTTTGCCCCGAGCCCCAGGGTTTCCAGATTCGTCAAAACGGTCCGAATAGCGGCATCAGTCGGTTGGGTGTTGAAAAGATTACCGCTAACATCCAACGAGATGAGAGAAGCCGCGAAGGGCGAGAAGCGGGTCAAGTCCAGGGCGGTGATCGAGTTGCATGAAAGGTCAAGAGCCGTCAATCCGTGAGACCATCGAAGATGTCGGCGGGCACGCGATCAGCCGTTGCTACCCGCGCCAAGCGTGCGAGATCATCGTCCAGCGGGTCGAAAAGTTCGGGTTCCAGCGAGCGAGCTGTTGTTGTCGGCGAGGTACAACGTTTGGAGACCCGACAGACCGTCGAAGATCTGTTGATCCAAAGACGCGATGGCGTTGCCTTCCAATCGCAGAATCTGGAGGGAGTCGTTCAGCGGGTCGAATAGATCGGTTTCCAGCGAAGCGAGTTGGTTGTTTCCAAGGTTAAGAATTTCAAGGACCGCCATTCCGCCGAAGATGTTTTCATGCAATTCGGCAAGTTGATTGCCGTTCAGGAACAACTCTGTAAGCCCTGTGAGCCCATCGAAAATATCTTCGTGAAGCATGGCTATCTCGTTGTCGTGAAGTTCGAGAACCCTCCAAACTGTCGTCCAATGGTTCGAAGAGGTCGGTGGGCAATGCATCCAGACTGTTGCCGCCGAGGATTAGCCAATTCAGTCCAAGAAGGCCGTCAAACACATTGTCATGGAGCGTGCTGATCTTGTTGTTGGACAAAAAGAGCCACCGCAGACTATCGTCCAAAGGATCGAAGATGTCGGCCGGCAGATCCGTCAGCTCGTTGTAGTGGAGGTAGAGCCCCTGCAACGCGACGAGCCCGTCAAAGACATCTTCAGGGAGCGACGCCAATTCGTTTTCTTGCAAGGAGAGATTCGTCAATCCGGTGAGGCCGTCGAAGATGTCCTCGGGGAGCGAGGTCAAATTGTTGCCGTTCAACCTCAAATCAGTCAGACTGTCGCCAAGAGGTTCGAAAACGTCTTCGGGCAATGAAATCAGGCCACTGTCGGTTAGCCGGAGTTTCGTCAACGCCCCGAGTCCATTGAACGCGTCAACGTCGATAGTTTGTAAATTTGGATTTTCCTCCAAGTATAGAGTCTCCAATCCTGTAGCTGCGCTGAATATGTTAGCTGGTAGCGTGGACAATTCATTTCTAATTAGCCATAGACCGGTTAGACTACTCAAATCTTCGAATACCCCGTTAGGCAAGTGAGATATTTCGTTGTCAGTAAGGCGCAGCTGTGTCAAACTTGATAGTCCTTGGAACGCGTCCTTTTCGATGGCGGAGATTCGGTTTCCTTCCATGCTCAGTATCTGAAGAGAATTTAGATTGTTGAAGAGACCATTGGAATGAATTGGATGGCGTTGTCCAGGAGGTCAATGTCGGTTAGCGAAGCACTGTCTCGAAAGAGATTTGGCGGCAACGCTGAGATGGGGTTTCGGGTCAAATACAAATTTTGCAGGTTGCCGAGTCCCGCAAAAGCGCGTTCGTGAATAGTTTCGACACCGGTTGTGTGGAAGAACAGCGTCGTCAACGCCGGTGTTCCCATGAACGTGTTCGCGGGTATAGACTTCAGCACCGGCGACGCGGAGATTTCCAGTTCAGAAAGAGACGTGAGACCTGCGAAATCGCTGCCGAGGAGGGTTGAGTTTGCTGTAGTTCTGGACGTATCCCAAAGACTCGTTCGTTACGGGCGTCGGATACGTCAAAAATAGTGATCGCCGCCAGTTCCGCCGAGGTGACGTCAGCGCATGTGGCTGTGGAGCGTGATTTTTGGACCTCCAACAGAATGACATCACGGACTTCCGGTGTCCGTCCGCAGATCCCTTCGTTCTGCGCTTGGACCCGTCGCAATTGCGTGTGCTCGGGAGTGAGGAGGAACGCGATGATCAACAAAAACACCGAGATGATCAGCGCCGCGCGGCGCGGATTCACCCTCGGTCGGACGATCAGACGATGAATGCGGCGTCGCGGAGCGTGGTTTTCACGAATGAATCCAAAGGTTCCCAGCGACGGGTACTTAATGAGCAAGTCGGAATCTCCATCCGTCGGTGCGGACATCTTGATAAATTGTTGGCGTGAGTTTTCGGCCAGACGATTCCACGGACCTCAGGCGACGAGGTTGAAACACCCAAGATCGACGGATGACCATTTCAAGAATTCTGGTTGGTATCACCGCTGATGAAAAGAGGCAGACGCCCTATAAGCAAGGGCATGTGCCTTGTATAAGACGCATTAAATGCGCGGTGACATCCGTGAGGAAACGTCTCGAAAGCGTTATTCAGAACTACACCGTCGGCAGAGCCGAAAGCTCATCACGGAGAACGAAGAGGCCGTAACGCAAAGACCTGCCGTTGGCGCTATCGCTGTTTCGGGCGGCTCCTACGCACTTGGGACGCTACCCCAGTCACATTGAACGTTCGCGCGTTGAAATCCGGCATCGTGTCGATGGCGCCATCATCCTCAACCC